TATAGCAACTTTGGATACCAGTTTGAGCTGAAATTCAACATTCCTGATTGTATCATCACATAAGCATCGTGGCCTGAATTTCCTCCTTTTGAAAATGTACAGAATTACCCCTCTAAGGTATCTGACATAGCTTTGAACATACATGACCTTGTTCTTACACTGAGCTTGCTTCTCAGAACTTGTCCTACTTGTTTTAGGTATGTTGCTGTTGCTCTTTACTTTGTGGCATCTTAGATAATTACTCATAGCACTCTTCGACATCTTTTATTCTCTCTTTATGAACATATAAGCACACACACGGTTGATTGCAGACCTCAGAAGGCCTACAATGACTGAACAGAGTAAAGGCAGACTAGATGATGGATGACTGGCTGCAAGAAGGCTATAAGCAGACTTCATCTAAGTGTTTGAGCTCAGATTTGGTTGAAAATAAACATAGAAGCAGGAAAAAACATGTTAAAGGTGTAGGATAAATCACTGAGGTGTGACAAGGAAGCTTTGGGTCAAAAATGAGCAAGATGTTTGACTAAGGCATGAGAGAAGGATCCTGGGCTTGTCCCTAAACTACACCTTCTGTTTAAAGCCGATAATGTTCTTCATGGTCAGATGTTTGAAAAAAAAAATCCACCATGCTTTAATGTGTTATTTCTTAATATAAATATAATCAATTATCTACCCTTTAAAATGTTTTTTAAATACTAGTTTATGTCATGTTATTAAGTTTGCCAAGCACAGATCGACGTGGTTGGATCATAGAAATAGAGATTGATCTATTCGATTAAACAATCAATCGTTACATACCTATTATTTAGTAACCATGTGAGGAATCCAGATAACCACCACTTACAGTGCAATGTAGTTTCTAATCCAATGATGACACAAAGGTTGTTAATGGAGCTGTCAAGTCGTTGTCTTTCTGAGACAGTGTGGAAGTACCATTGCTAGTGCTTTGCTGCAAGCAGAGTAACAGAGCCTGCTCCTTATTTCTGTTTAGGACATGATTCTACTCATTACCTCAGGGGATGCTCCTTTCCTCAGCACCAGAACCTATCTGACATCTCAAGCTGTTAGAGGGAAAACATGTTTTAGTGCCATGGATGGATGCTGATCATAAAATGGAAGCACACATCAGAGCCGTTGTAAAGTCCAGCTTTTTCAACTTAAGGCAGCTAGCCAAAGTAAAACCCATTCTTTCAAAACAACATTTTGAAACAGTGAGCCATGCATTTGTGACCACACGGCTGGATTACTGTAACTCACTTTATACAGGGGTCAGTGACTTGTATATTTCCCAACTTCAAAGGGTTCAAAATGCTGCTGCACGTCTTTTAACAGGTACACGAAAATTCGACCACATTTCCCCTGTTTTAGCTACCTTACACTGGCTCCCAGTACATTTTAGGATTGATTTTTAAATTCTTTTATTTGTTTTTAAAACTCTTAATGGCCTTGCCCCTTCTTATCTGTCTGAGCTGTTGCATTCTTACACACCCTCCCATTCCCTCAGGTCAGCTGATCAGTTGCTTCTGAGGGTCCCAAAGACAAAATGCAAGCTCAGAGGGGACCGTGCTTTTTCTGTGGCAGCTCCTAAGCTGTGGAAGGATCTGCCTCTGAGCATAAGACAGGCCTCTTCTATTGCTGTTTTTAAGTCCCTTCTTAAGACTCATCTTTTTTCCTTGGCTTTTGGCACAATTTGAGAGGTTTTACTTTGTTTTATTCTCTTTGTATACTAATATGTATTTTACACTTGTTGTTTTTTTTCTATTTTATAATTTTATTGTATTTTATGATTGTGTACAGCACTTTGGTCCTGTCCGGTTCATAAAGTGCTTCATAAATAAAGTTGGTATGGTATGGCATGGTATGGTACCATGTTGGTGTTCCTCTCAAATTCTGGGTCCTGAATTGTCTGAGGGTACTGAGTATGCCTGTCTTTGTTTCAAGTTTTAATCTGTTATTATTTTCTGTGGTGCTAAGTAGGGGTATAAATCACACCCATCATGGCGATTCAATTCAGTATCGATTTCCTGACCCAACAATTTGATTATTTTCTATACTCAAGAATACATCATGATATGATTCGATTAATTGGTTCATTTTGGGTTTTTTTTTTATTTTTTTTTAACTGTTGAAAACCGTCATGGCTTCCTTGGGTCTGTTGATTCAAGTGCAGTTCACTTAGATGGAGTGACCTGCACAAATTCTGGCTCCTGTATTGTCTAAGGGTACTGAGTATGCCTGCTTTTGTCTCAAGTTTGAATCTGTTATTATTTTCTGTGGTGCGATCAACCTAAGTTTCCCCATTCCAATTTCCTCAAGTGGGTTGAGGATTATTAATTTTAATGCTGAGCTTATATTGAATGTGTTGTAGCTGAAACCTAAATCATTGTGGGTATGGTTAAAGAGGCCATGAGCTCAACATAGTCTTTCTGGAAGATACGTGACAACTGACAACTCTCGTAAACCTTCAGTAACTTTTTTTCTGTCAAGTGTCTTTTCTGTAACTGGTGCTGCAGCAGGGACATCCTGATCACAGTGTTCAGTGTTTATAACTTTCTGCAGCACGCCCGCACCGCACCTACATAGCAGGTACACTGTGTTCAGTGTAAACCCAGTGTAAATTCCTGAATATAGTTTCTTTGAGGAGGCCAAGAATGACTCACCTTAGTCTTACCGTCCAAGCCTTGAATTATCTGAAGACATATGGCTCATCTACTAAATCAACTAAAGCCTGACATTCATTTTCAATAAATGAACCCTCAAACACTCTTATTTGAGATTGAATTGTATGATATTCTTAGGTGTGAAAAAAAGAAACTACAGCAAAAAAACTGTGAGGAGCCAAATACTTTCTTCCTAGAATCTTAGCATCTTGTTGGGATCCTCTGGCTTGCCCACCAGAGGGCGCCGAGGATCCTCTTCTGCTCTTTTTTGTCTCTTTCTCTTAGGGCTGGAGTCACTGTCAGGTTCTGGAGATTACCCTCTGCCTCCAGCAGAGTGCGCCGTGGGTCCTCCTGAA